AAGTTAGAATATTTTCAATAATTTGCTTATTTACTGTGCACTGAATGAAATAGAAATTTAGAATACGTGTGCTCAACCTAATAGAAACTCTCATAGGACACGAATTATCTATCAAAAAGAATGAACACCCATGCTACTTTGCCCAAAATATTTTTTAAATCAGAGCTGTAACTTTCGAACTACTGCAAATTTTATAGCGACACTCAAGGTCGGACACATTCAAATGATCATAGAAATGAACTAAGAACGTAGATGTTGGAGATAAAGTCAGGAATAAATACACTGTACTCATAACCATCTATATATAAGTATGCTATTGCAAGCTGAAATAGATTTTCAAAATGTGGGTGATGTTGCACGAGTTCGGTCAACACCTGTATGTCGACTTTGCCTAGGGCAGGAATGGTTTCCGGATACGGTCAGGAAGTCTACTTATTGTCATGCAATGATCAGCTATATCTGATTGCCTGAGCCCGAAATCCGAGGAAAATTCCACTAACAAGCGTCCAATGAGGAGGAAAAAATCAGATCGTTTAGCCCTCTCCTTTCAACCACATCTTTTGTCATCAGTCAGATATGACATGATTATGAAAGGTTCAGATCGAGACTGCTCGCCAGTTTCGAGTTGGTTTAGTTTGCGGAACATGGTTTACGATCACCACCGTGATTTTGGGGACTTGAAAAATGTGCCATTCACTCGGTAATCACATGGGGTTTCCTCAAATTTCTTACTCATTTGTCTATCTATCACTTGATACTGTCCAGCTCATGAAGCGATCACTGTAAGCTGTTAAAACATCCGTTTTCCTATATGAACCCTAATAGAGAATACAACAACACAGTGATACATATTCATCGCATCTCCTTCGAAACACACTAAGATCAGAAAATAATAATAATTTACGGTGACCGTGGATGAGCACTTGGTGTTAAACCTATCCACCTTGCCTACTTTGGTAGAAAAATGGCTAAGTCTAACACTAACATCTCATCGACAGTGTTTTTGGCTTGTTTTTTTTCATCAAATGTTTTACTGTGAAGTGTATATCGGAGCGAAATGGACATCCCATTACACGGCTGTGATAAAGTGCAAAGACACGGAAAACCAGGTGTGATCAAGTATTCCCAAGAGGGAATGACTGACTGATCGAGAACAAATTATAAGCTAACCTTGACAACAGGTTTCGCTTCAAGCGCTTCGACAGTGCGGAATGCACTTGGCGCGGGAAAACCTTGACTGGCCGCGTGCCATTGACGACAGGTTAGGACCAACCGTTTCAATGCCGGTAAGAACAAATCGACGTGCTGCTCATAGGTCAGATCCAGACAGGACAGAACCTGAATGCCGAATGAAAACAAAACGGGGGCTCGAATCAGAAGAGCTAATACAAAAACTTATCAAATGAAGTGATACAGATGTGAATGTTTTGTTTGCATTTGCAGCTCAGTAGCGATAAGGGGACTTATAGACTGTAGAAGAGAAACCGGGTAGATAAAACAAAACATCATTGGCCGGTGAAGGTTAAACATGAAACCCACAAAACGAAGAAGCCAACATAGTAAACCACATACAACAATGTTGTAACAATAATGGAAAATAAGCTGCGATCGGGTTCAGTAGTAAGTTGCATGAATACGCCAACAAGGAAATATTACACAAAAATCAAGCTGGAGTTTCATTCAAACTGGCTGTAAAATTGTTCAACTTATTTCAGCACCAAAGTCGTCATTTACTACACTGAGGAGACTGGGGTACGCTTCTCTCCCAATGTACAACTTACAACGACGAAACGCGGGAGGGAAATTGATCGAACTAATCGCGAGAATAGCAACATGTGGAGGGGTTCGTGGATTTGCACGAACTAAAACCGTGCACGAATCGCTTAAACTAACGCGATTTGGGTGTTGATAACCAATCGTGTGGATCAGGATTCAAGGCTCCAGCCTCCAAATAGAAAGTCCAATACTTTTCTCTTGATAATGATACCACAGATAACCACTGCCAGCAAATCGGGATGCAGACGAAACAGACATATCCAGTGCACTTGGTCAGTCATAAAGAAATTCTCGTAAATAACGGAACCAGACTTTTTGACCATGAATAAACTTGATTGAAAGCTCCACGCTTTCAAGTTAAGCATCTTAAGTAATGTAGGTTTACGCCAAGGAAGACAATAGTCAGTGATAGAGCGAGCGGAAAAAAGACAAGTCATTACCAATATTCCCTATAACTGCTGTCCAGTAACGCTCCTCAACAGTATCCCTTTGGAGTAGGGATAACCAAAACCGTCTCTGTCTGAAACCAGTGACCAAACGGTGCCAGATAGTTGTGGAAAGAACGGCAAAACAAAACGTTACTCAGTATTATTCAAAACAAGCATCATTGCTTTAAGATATATATTGCCAATTATGGTGAGTTAGATTGAGAATCGTTTTTAGGATTTTCGTTCCGAGGATAACAACTACTGACCCTGGAGTGCGAGCACGTTCGAAATTAGATTCGAAGACGATCTTTATTCCCTTTGTTCGCTAGCGATACGTAATATGTTCGACGTGTATTTTACCCCGTTGCACAAACTCGGGTGAAACAGTTCGTTGCAACTGCGAGTGCGACTATACCCCGTGATAGTTGATGGGCGGGACTGTTCATTTATACGTTGGGGCGAAAGAGCCATAATAGTGACGGTGATGGTGCATTGGGAAACCGCGAATACAATCAGGCGGAATCAATTGCGGTTCACGTGAGAAGAATCCGACTGATTTGAGTACAAACGGGAACAGACGTAGAGTTGACCGGGACGGTTACTTACTTGTCTTACCATTGGACGAAGCAACGGCAAGATTTCAAAAGTGGCATGCTCGAACAACGTCGTCATTGTCTGACAAGCTGACTGCAATCCAGCCAACAGATCGGGGCTAATCGTGTTCGTGCCGGGATGACGAAGGATCACACTGTGCAACTGGAGAGTGATCGATGAGATCAGATAATCAGCGTTGCGTGTAATCAATTCTCCTACGCTATATGAAAATAGGGAACGATAAGATGAAATTCATCGAAGCTTCACTACAATCAACGTGCAGCACACAAAAGTGCCAACTTTTGATATACTCAGCCATTACACACATTATACATACATATATATATATATACATATATCTTAACTGTGAACCAAACAGATCACAGTACAATATCCTTTGACAGAGAAATTATTTTATGATTTGCATAGAGGCAGAATACTATCACGCGGCCCAGACGAGAACAGATAAATTTATCTGGGGGAGCCTTCGGTTAGCCAAAGTTTGCTCTGTAATGCCGTAGGGCGATGTGTGAAAACGGCAATACACTGCGAGCCTCAGTCCAGTTCATCCACCTTTCGGATGGTACACAATACACATCTATGTCCACTCAAGCCGATGCCCGCAGCCAGGACAAGGGAGGTGTGAGTTTGGTTCGTAAGCCTCCTCTTGGTTATTTCTGTCTAGGTTATACCTCTGGATGTTGGATTTTCCTTCTATCATTGTGGTGGAAAAAACACTCGCACCAGGTCAAGGCAATGAGTCGGACTCCTTAGCAGAAGCTATTTGAAACGCTTGAGACGCTGGATTAAAACCAATTGGGCGATAGATTTCTCGTCCATAGCACAATCTGACGTCGGATATCACGAGCATTGTTAGCAGGAAAGGACCAGAAGTCTACCGCTTTGATAGTAAATGACTTTACACATATCTGCTTACAGTAAACATAAACATAATTCTACTTACTGATGAATAGTCTTAAAAAAGTTGTGCAACTGTTTGGTGTAAGGCCTTTATTGGAACTCCGGTTTTGAACCAAAGCAACTTTATTATGCATTACATTTCACCCGTCTACATTCTGGATTTCAACATTATCATCACTGCATGCTGTGGCATACAGTATTTCGTGCATATCATCCAAGGTGGTCAATTTAGAGTAGGCATTGCATGGCCAATCATGTTCTCAATTACGACAAGAGTCAAATGATCTGGATCACCGAGTCTGCATTCCCAATCCGGAAATTGTGGTACGAGGTGAAATAAAGCAGCAGTTCCAGACTTTCACGCAAACACAACGGAGACGTTTAAAGGAAGATTAGTCAATCGCGAAGAGAATTCAGTCAGTTATGTTGATTATCAGATCCTCGTTAACCTATCGGGAATTCTCGGGTAACTTTTAAAAGCAGGTCATTGATTCGCATCCATTTTTTTAAACTAAAGGTTTCAGAGAAAATAGAATTCACACTGGGCTGTAAGTGAACCCTTCCATGAGGGCAGCACACATCATAACAATAGTTGAGATAAATGGTAAGACAACCATAGATATTAATTCCATCAAATTATCCAAATAATTTTGTCGCATACGTATCTTACGTGCACTGTTCTTCGTCAGGATTTGTTGTTTGCATTTACCCTATATTGCGGGTAAGACTTTAATTACACAGTGATCGGAATTGCCTACTGGCGCACGTTTTAAGGCACGAAAAAAGATGGCTCGTTAACGAAAAAGTGGTCCAAGGAAGCATCATTTGGCGTGGAAAAACTAGCAATGTTCTGGAGGGACATAAGTGTGTAAAAGCTCAAATCTGACCTGTTTAAATCACCAGCAAAGATGGATACAGATGTAACAGACTTCTCCAACATGATTGAATGGAATATAATATATCCGGGAAGGTAGACCACTTACTAGGAGTACAATCGGGAGTGATGTACAGATTTGAGAAGATGATCGAAGAGTGACGCAGGAGAAAACGTTGTTTACATTCCACAGTAATACAAGAAGTATTTTGTGTACAGTGATTGAATATGCTTTTGCTGGTGTTACACCACGTGTGTGATGACGCCGCCACCTTTAGTTTTCTTCCTGGTGGTCTATCTGCACGAACTAATTAGAAATCTTTGATCTGAACCCATTCGTCCTCGACGGATTTTTGTAGCCAATATTCTTGGAAAAGTAGCATACAACTTAGAAAGAATTGAGCAGACGTCCGACGACAAGATGATGGAAAAACCAAGGCTCTTCAGGCTTCTGTGCTCAAGTGAGATTTTCCAACCAGCACGGGTGTTTATCAATTGAATTTCTGGTGAACCTTTCAAACATATTTCTTACAAAGCGAAGAAAGAGAGCGGGAACGATTCGTTGATATATTCCACGGATA